AACTACAGGGACCTTTTTCAGACTAGGTGTTAGGGAAAGACTCCCTGAGAAGTTACATTTAAAATGGGAGCTAAAGGATGAGTAGAGAGGTGAGCCAAGTGAAGAGCAAGGGAAAACATTTCAGGAAAAGAAAACCGGTGAGCAAAGCCCCTGAGGTAGTTGAAAGTTTAGTGCATTCTAGGCCAGTGACTGGAGTATGTAGTGGAGCAAAGGGGGTGGTAGCATGAATGATTGGTCTGGGGAGGTTGTAGGGCTTTGTAGACCTTGTTAAGTAGTTTATAGTTTATCATAATTGCAATGGAAAGGCTTCTTAAAATACAGCAGATAAATGAGCCTTAATAAATATAGGAGGTATGATAAGTTTTTATGAAGAGTCCATTCCTTTTTTTTTCTCCTTAGGTAGAGAAAACATTCATCTGCATAAAACAGCTTTCCTTAAATCTCATGTTTTATGTACAACAACACAACAAAAATAGTCAAGACACCAAGTGATTTAACAAAGTTGCTTATAGTGAACTCCCACATAGCTCTTAGATTTAGCCACAAAAGAATTTTGGAAAGATAGCAGTGATTTTTGTATGGAAATATACTCAGTTCTTCAAAATCAACTTATTTTTCTCACATGGTTTCAACTTAGAATTGGCTTTAAGTTATAATTTTACCTTTTCCCACCCCCCCCATATTAAATTACCTTGCGAAATGCTGACATAAGGGGTGTGATTTTCCGGTTATCTGCTGCATCTACATCAGCACCTGCTTGCACTAGCAATTGTACTACATCAAAATGACCACCATTGGATGCCAACCAAAGTGGTGTATTTCCCTTCTTGTTACGAACATCAATGTGGGCTCCCCTATAAACAAAGAATGTTAATATAGGTTGTTTCCATAAGAGACTGACTTCTTCTAGTTTTCTCTGTCATCTTTTATCTTTTACAAAATAACATGCAAATAATATTTCTTTAAAATGTCAATAAAGTAAAATAATTTTATTAACTTAAAATTAAAAGGCTCTGAAAAGTGAAAGGAACCATAGGAAGTTCTATATATAGTAATAGAAAATTACTCACCTATGAATCAGGAGCTCACAAAATTTGTAGTGACCTTTGTCTGCTGCTATTGTTAAAGCAGTATCTCTTGAGGAAGGCACTGGTGGGGCATTGACATCTGCTCCTTTATCAAGGAGAACTCTTCCAACCTCTGCATATCCTCCAGAAGCAGCTTCCATCAAGGGGGTAAGACCAGTCTGTTCAAACCAATAAATTATGCAACTAATTTACACAATTTCTTTAAAAGATTAATTAACTTTTAAGAGGATTCTAGGTTAGGCACAGTGGCTCATGCCTGTAATCCCAGCAGTTTGGGAGGCTGAGGTGGGAGGATCACTTGAGACCAGGAGTTTAAGACCAGACTGAGAAACATAGCAAGACCCCATCTCTACAAAAAAATAGAAAAATTAGCCGGGCATGGTGGCATGCACCTCTTGTCTCAGCTATTCTAGAGGCTGAGGCACGAGGATTACTTGAGTCCAGGAATTTGAGGTTGCAGTGAGCTATGATCACACCATTAACCTTATGCCCAGGCAACAAAGTGAGACCCTGTCTCAAAAAAAAAAAAGAAGATTCTAGTTCTGATTTGCTCTTAGAGCTAAACAGTAAGTGTCCATCAATGGATGAATGGATAAAGAAGTTGTGGTACATATACACATTGAAATATTATTCAGCCATTAAAAAAATGAAATCCTGTCATTTGCAACAACATGAATGGAACTGGAGAACATTATGTTAAGTGAAATAAGCCAAGCACAGAAAAACAAATCTCTCCTGTTCTCACTTATATGTGGAAGCTAAATATTAAAACAATTGATCTCATGGAAACAGAGAGTAGAATGACGGTTACCAGAGACTGGGAAAGGTAGCAGGGAGTGGGGATAAAGTGGGGATGGTTAATGGGTGCAAAAATATAGTTATTATTAGACAGAATGAATAATATTTGATAGCACAACAAAGTGACTATAGTCAACAGTAAGTTATGGTAATACTTTAAAATAACTAAAAGAGTGGAATTGTAATGTTCCTAACACAAAGAAAGGATAAATGCTTGAGGTGACAGATACCCCAATTACCCTAATTTGATTAATACAGATTGTATGCCTGTATCAAAATATCACATGTACCCTATAAATAACTATTATTTACCCATAACAATTAAAAATTTAAAAAGAGCTAAGCAATATTCAGTCTTGAATTTTACTAAACAGCAAGTGAAAATTCTTAGATTCAGTTAGATATGCTAGAATGAACTCACTTATAGCATAACACCTGATGCTAAAAGAAAAAGAAACAATTTCATAACTTCAATACTTTTATAAATGTACTCAGAGAATAACTTCTTCATACAATGAAGAGATATTAAAAATGGAGTAAAATATCACTTCATATATTTTTTGCATATGTGCCTTTTGTATATTAGCCTCCAACATTTTTGTCAAAGAACATTCCCTGGTACCATTCCCAAAATAATATAGATTTCTTTAGGACTTTTAATGGATAAGTGTGCCACAGTGAATACCTGTAATAGAAATAGACAAACTGAACGGCAAGAAAGACTCATTTCTCTTTCTGTGATAAAGAGTCCAAGGGAATATTATATCACCTCTATTCTAAGA